TACTACTACTACTACTACTACTTCTACTACTACTACTATTACTGCGTATTCTTTTTTCTACGATTACTACTATTTTTGCAGCGCGGGGATGAAGAGGTGGAGGAAAATGAAGAGGAAGAGACGCAGGAGGTCATGTGAACACCCAATAATCATCAACGATGCTGGAATAAACCGTCCTCCAGGCTCCCCCTTGATAGGCCCCTACGAATGGTTCATTTCCACAAGGAACTGCCTCGCTGGCTGACAACCGTTTGAAGACACCTGGAACATGCCAAAACATTGTCGGCGAGGCTCCAACGCCACGCATCAAACTGTCTTTTGTGTATTGACGATATTGAATCGTGCCCGGACACCATTCCCGGGGCTGCAACAATGCGAACCAATGTATTTTTTGCGCCCTCATAATCCCGAGTCCTTCCAAAACTATATTTCTGGTACGCTGGCCATCGATTTCCGTGAAACTCTTGCAAAGGTTACAAACAACCGTGCGCGGCGTTCGGGCGAGAACCACATTTTGAAAAGGAGCCACCCTCGATCTGTGAAGTTCTGGCAACGGGTTGAAACGAATGTGTGCAGCGCTAAGGCGAGAGCCACATTTTGAAAACCATCCGCTGTCAATGCGTGAAACTCTTTCAAAATGTTCCCGCCGGACACATTGGGGCCGTTAGATATTAAGAACAGACCTCCCGGCCACTCCCACCCTGCATACCGCGGCCGCCAGACCCCAAGTTGTCCCGAGTGTCCCGGTTATCCCGCGTCGCGCCCTCGACAAACACGACAGAACACACCCTGCATACCAGGGCCGCCAGACCCCAATTGGCCCGAGAGTCCTAGCTATCCCGCCTCGCGCCGTCGACAAACACGACAGAACACAACCTGCATACCAAGGCCGCCAGACCCCAAGATATCCCGAGAATCCCGGGTATCCCTCCTCGCGCCCCCGAAAAACACGACAGAACACAATATGGCAAACAGAACATGACAGAACAGAACAATATCATGACAGAGCATGGCAGAACATAACATATCAATATCATTACAAAGTAGGGGACACCAACATGTCACATAACATACCAGCGCAAAACATGACAAAACAGAAAACTACATAACACAATAGACCAAAGCATAACCGATCATAACCGATCATAACATAAGACGCATTGACATGGCATTTCGTAGCATGACACAGCGTCACCAACCAAACATATCATAAGACGGCAGCAGAGCATGGCGACGAACAGGCCAGATCACAACGTGGCACACCAGACGATAAGATAACATAGTGGAACGTAGCAGTATCACGGCGACAAATCATGATGCAACATCACATCATACATCATACCATGGCACTGTAGAACAAAGCACGGCATAACAGAACATAGCACATCACAGCCGAAGAACGTATAACACACCTTGACAGAACATCTCGGACCATTGCACTGCATCGCATAACATTTCCTAGCACGATAATGTTGCATGTCTGTATTCTAGTGCGCCCAGTCGTCCACAACACACAACACTACCTAACATACAAGAGCACCTCATGATAGGGAAGAAAACGACATAACACAACATGCCATACTGTTACCGAACAAAACATAACACATTATGACAAGACACAGTATATCATGACACATCATCACATCACATATCATAACACGGCACCAGGGCATTGCGAAACCTACTAACATAACATGTCATAACATAATGTAGCGAACCGAGCCGTCAACAGCATCACGAAGCAGAGCATACCACAACATAATCTGTCACCACATCATGCAATAACATAGTGCCGCAACGCAGATCATACAATAGCATCCCTAACCACATGGTGACAGATATGCGCCAACGTGCACCCATGGATGTCGGATACCCACGTGCCGGGGGGCCTCCGCCCGGGGCCGCCGCGCGCCCCGCGCATACTCGGGGGAGCGAAGAAGACGAGGGCGAGGGGGGGCGAGGCGCATGAGGAAAGAGCACCAAGAACAGGGCGAGGAGGAGGGAACGGAAGTGGAGGAGGAGGAGGAGGACGGGGAGGAACGAGGACGATGAGGAGGAACAGGAGGAGGATTGAGAGGTCGCCCTCACCTCCTTTTTCCTCCTCCTCCTCCTCGTCCTTCGTCGTCCGTCTCCTCCTCGTGATGCTGCTGCTGCTGTTCCTCCTCTTCTTCTTACCGGAGGTTGATACTATCTCAGAACAAGTTCTGGGGTATCGCAAATAGCGTTTTGGGTTTGGTTTTGTCCTCGTCAGAGGCCTTAGGGTTGTTAGAATTCGGAAAACATCAACTTGCGACCTGGCCCGGCCGCCGCGCTGGCCGACGCCGCCGGGCACTGCGCACATCCTTCCAGTAGGCGCGCGCACCGTTGGGACCAAACGCCGAAGGTTTCGGTGGGGATCGCTCGAAGCCAAATAATTTAACGAATGTGCGCGGCGCTAAGACGAGAACCATATTGTGGAAACCACCTGCCCTCAAACCGTGAAACTTTCACAAATGTTTAAAACGAATGTGCGCGGCGCTAAATGCGAGAGCCACATTGTGAAAACGACCCGCCCTCCATCTGTGAGACTGTCGTCAATGTTTAAGCTCCAGGGTCATAAATGGTGAGGAATTCTCAGGCGGAACGTCCGGACCACCCCAAAAACTGGCCTCGGGGTGCGACAGGGAAAAGTTAATGTATAAGGAAACGAATGGAGGCGGAGGAGGAGGGGGAGAGGGGGAAGGAGGAGAAAGAGATTTGAGGACTAGTCCTACTCACTGCCGAATGATCATGGGAGGGCAAAACTAAAAACCTCCTGAGGTTGCATCTGGGCGGAGGAGGTGGGGGCCTTCTTGTCCACCAGCACATTGCTTTCCTTTCCAGGGCTGGCCCTGCCGCACGGTGCTCGGGGTCAGGGCTGGCTCGTCTGCGAGTCCGCGCGGGATTGCTGACGCTGCAGGCCACGCGTGCGCCTCGCAGCATGCCTAAGAAGCAGGCGCAGACGGGGCCCTCCTCTTGCGGTGCCCTCCTATATTGATCATGATTGTGCTTGCGGCTGCACAGGTCCTCCTTCAACACAGGCTGCTTGCTTCGTTGCTGCGCTCCCTGGCGGGCCCCTGCGCCTCCCCCATGCCCACCCGTGCAACGTCAAACAAGACGCAGACAGGGGGGAGGGGAGGGGGGGGAGGAGGAGGAGGAGGAGGGAGGAGGAGGGGAGGAGGAGGAGGAGGAGGAGGAGAAGGAGGTGGAGGAGGAGGAGGAGGAGGAGGAGGAGGAGGAGGAGGGGGAGGGACAGGCCCGACTTCAGGCCAGCCCCGCGCGCCAGGGATGGCGACCCAGCGCCGAGGAAGAAAGCAGCCCGCGCGCCGAGCCGTGGCCACTAGAGGGCAGCCCGAGACGCAGAGGCAGCGCCTGGCGACGACGGCGGCAACGACGACGGCGGCGGCGGCGCCGCCGCCGCCGCCTCCTCCTCCTCTCCGCCTCCGCCTCCGTCCTCCTCCGCCTCCGCCTCCGCCTCCTTCCTCCTCCGCCTCCTCCTTCCTCTCTCGCCTCCACTCCTCCCGCCTCCTCCTCCGCCTCCGCCTCCACCTCCCTCCTCCTCCTCCTCCCTCCTCCTCCTCCCTCTCCTCCTCCTCCTCCTCCTCCCCCGATCCACCGCCATCGCCGACGAGCCGCCGCTGGCCGCCGCGGTCGCCACCTTGGCGGGGCGCACGAGGGGGCAGGGGCAGGGGGGTGGCTTCTCTCAGAAGGAGGCTGCTTCTCCGAAAAGGCGCCGGGCCCTGCGTCTGCAGAAGGGGCCCGCGCCTCCTGAGAAGCAGGGGGTGCTTCTGAGAAGCCTCCCCCCGTTCCCCCCCTGGCCCCCCCCTGCGCGCAGTCGCCACCGTTGAGCAGGGACCGACCGTCCAGGCATTCCTATAGTCCTACCACGAAATGTTCTTAGAACCCCAAAATGTGTTCGAAGAACAAAAACAATGTTCTTAGAGCATCAGCCCGACGTGTTGAAACAAGACAGTCTCAACCAGCAATGTTCCTACCAAGCAATGTTCTGAGGCTCTTAGAACATTGCTTGGTAGGGCTATGGGCGAGCCAGGGCGCTTCGCAGCTGCTGGACACCGCCGCTGCGACGCGCCGCCATCCGATCGCCCGCGGCGCCCGAGGCCCTGCCGGCCCTGGCGGGGCGCCTGTCGGCCGCGCGGCGCATCAGCTGCGGGACGCCGGGGGCCACGTCGCCCCGCGGGGGCGCGAGCGGGCTCCTGGCTCTGGTCGGCTGCAGCCGAGGCGCTACAAGAAGGAAAGCCTCTCGGACATCTTCGGACATCCTTCTGCTCCTCCTCCCCCTCCTCCTCCTCCTCCTCCTCCTCCTCCTCCTCCTCCTCCGCCTCCGCCTCCGCCTCCTCCTCCTCCTCCGCCTCCTCCTCCTCCTCCTCCTCCTGCAGGGGGTACTTTTTTCCGGCCGCGGCGGGCCTGGGCCACAGACGAATCCCGCGCGGCCTAACTCCAGGGAGCGGCCCAGACCCCCTTCGCCTCCTCCTCCGCCTCCGCCTCCGCCTCCGCCTCCTCCTCCTCCTCCTCCTCCTCCTCCTCCTCCTCCTCCGCCGATCCACCGCCACCTCCTCCTTCGAGCGGCCCAGACCCCCCGAGCCCCTCCCGAGCCCCGAGCGGTCCTCCTTTCGGCGTCTCGGCTGTCATTACGCGCGGGGAGCGGCCCTGGGCAAGGGGGAGACCCTCGGTGCGCGGCTCTCTGGGGGGCGCAAGGGGGCCAAACTGAAGGGGCCCCAGCACACACAAATAGATACACACAAATGAACATATCCCACAGATTCTCCCATATCTTCTGGATGTCTGTCTTCCCCCCCACTTCCCATAGTTTCCCATATTTTCCTTGGGATTGACGATTCATGGTGTCTGTGTGCTTCTTTCCCTCCTGACAAACCGGGGCGCGCAAGCCGCTCGGATCGCGCCGCACTCCGGCGATCGGGGGGCCAAAACGGGCCCGCACCGACAGGTCCTTCCGGCCAAGGTCTCTCTCTCTCACGTGTATAAGTCGGCTGGGCGGGGGGTGGGCGGCGGCCGTGCTGCGCCAGCGGCACCGGTCCTCACCCGGGCCGGTTTGGGGGCGTCGGCCTCTTGGCCTCTTCGCGAGAGGGGCCCACAGTGGGACACACACACACACACACACGGATCTGCACGACGTCTGGCATTTCCAGGGCGTTCCCAGATTTCGGAGGTCTTCCTATTCCCGCCGATTTCCAATATTTTGAAAATCTTCGAATGAACATACAGTCGGGGCGTTCACCTACGGAACGATAAATAAGGAGCGAGGCCCCTTCTTCCCATATAGTAAACTCCGATTTCCCATGGAAAACCTCAGGAAAACCCAAGGAGCACTGTAAAGCGACTAAGGAACACGGAGCCCCTCCCCAACAACGAGGGCTCCTTCTTCAGGGCCCTGACTGTAGATACTTGTTTATGTGTGTGTGTGTTGATGATCCCCCCCTGATCTTACATGGCAGGGGCTACTCCAGATTTCGTAACAAAAGGGAGGGGGTCTCAACCCTCCCAGACGAGAAGTTTTAGACCCTCCCAGACCATCCATGAAAGGGCGGCCCTTTGCCCAGACCCCCCCCGAACCCTCCAAGACAACTCAAATCAGACCCCCCGGTGGATCGATCTTCGGGGAACTCGGCAGGAGGTGACACGGAATATCTACGCGACCCCCCCCGGATTGGACGAGGTGGGTCGAGGCCTGAAGTAGGAAGGCGCTGAGAGTACCGTCGGGGCCTTGACCCAAGGAACCCAAACTAAGGAACGAGGCTCCTTTTTTCCATAAGTTGTTTCCATAAGTTAACCTTCGATTTCGTATCGAAACCTAAGGAAAATCTAAGGCAAGCTGCGAAACAATCAAGGAACCCAAAATAAGGAACGAGGCCCCTTTTTTTCCATAAGTTAAACTCCGATCTCGTATCGAAAACCTAAGGAAACCCTGAGGCAAGCTGCGAAACAATCAGGGAACGCGGAGCCCCTCCCCAACGAAAAGGGTTCCCTCTTCAGGGCCCCGGCTGTCGAAAGGCGCTGAAAGTGCAGTGGGCTTCCGCCCACCCCCTGAAGAGGAGGGAAGAGTGAACACCACTCGGCCCTTGAAGCAGAGAGGCCCTGAAAAATCAGAGTGGGACACTGGCATCCAAGATACATACCCACTTCCAACGACCGGCGGGCATTCACATCCGCTGCCTGCCGAGGTCCTCAGAGATCGACCCCCCCATAGGCAGTGGCTCTGGACGAGTCCCCGCCTCGGACTCCTCCATCGGCGCGCCTCGACTCCTCGGGCACCCCTCCCAAGCTCGCCGCAGGGGGCCCGCTTCTGGAGGAAGGGCCCCTCGCCGAACTCCTCGAGTATTTATGTTCCCCTGGCGTCTTCCGCTCGACGAGTGCCCCTCGCGCTCCTCGAGGGAGGCCCCCTCCTCGAGAGGAAGGCCCTCCTCCGAGCTCCTCGAGGGAGGCCCCCTCCTCTAGGAGGGCCCCCCCTCGACCTCCTCGAGGGGGGCCCTCCCTCGGGGAAGGCCCCCCTCCTCCTCCTCCTCCTCCTCCTCCTCCTCCTCCTCCTCCTCCTCCTCCTCCTCCTCCTCCTCCGGCACGGGAGCTTGCAGGCATCTTCTCGCCGCGCTCCCCTTCCTGAGGTCGGGCAGCGCGGCGAGCGGCTCTTCGAGCCTCCGTCCTCCCTCCGGCGTCCAGGGGGGCCCCCGTGGCCGTGGCTGGAGGCAGCTTTGGGAGACTGGCCAGGGTGGTGCTCGGCAGGGGTCCGGCGACCGGCTCCGGGAGACAGTCGGGCCCAGGGCTATGCTGCTCCCATCGTACTTAAGGACCACATCCCAGAGATAATTTCGAGCACCCGGAAAAGTGTGGAAGGAGTGTGGAAAGAGTGTCGAAAGAGTGTCGGACGAGTGTCTCCCAGGGTCCGACACGTGAAAACCCGTGAGTTTTGGGATACTTTTCTGGTGCTCGGAATTCTTACTGGTGATCAAGGCTAGAGTAGGTTGGAACATCATAAGCCCAGAGCCTCATGTGGCAACTAATGGGGGCCCCCATACCATCTTGTCTGCTCTTGCGAACCGACGCTGATCGACGCCAACCAACCCTGACCCGACGCCAGTGGACGCTGAATCGAGGCGAGTCGACCCCACATCGGCGCTTCGTCATCGACTACCAGGCGCTAGCGCACGCGAATGCACTCGCGAAGACGGAACTGAGAGGAGAAGCGTGGACCACGGCCACCGAGAACCCAGCGGTGGGGGGGGGCCGACCCCATGGGCGGTGGCACGCCCCAGCGCCACCTGGCACAGGACGACGCTCAGGAGTGCCACCGCCCAGGGGTGCGTCTCCATCCGAGGGGTTCTCGGTGGCAGCGGTCCACGTGTGCCCTCTGAGGAACCCTGGGGACACACAGCTCGGCTGCGAGCGAGGGGGGGGAGTGACAAGGAGAAGGCCTTCTCAGAAGGCGGCGGGGCTTCTCAGAAGGCTTCCGGCCTTCTGACAAGTTTTCTGCGTCTTCGGGGAAGGCTTAGAAAACTTCTTGAAGGCCAGGGGACTTTCGAGCCTTCTGAGAAGGCCCGCCCCTTCTCACTTCCCCCCCGTGCTCACCGCCGAGCGCAGTGCTCCCATGGTTTGCGACCAGAGGAGCCCCAAAACTCTGGGCGAAGTCGTGTCGGCCGGCTTGTCATTGGTGCGGAGGGCATCTGGAGGCCCGTCTCGACCTCTCGGGCAATCGACAGAACAGCCCAGGCAGGCCTCGGACTGGTCCCATGCCGCTTAGAGAGCGCAAGGATCGGCGTGCAGGCCGTCCAGTCACCTCCTGCGTCGCAGCTTTCTCGTGACGCTGGCCCCCAAGCTATCTCGGCCCTTTCTCCAGGGCCGTCTTTTTTCAGCCTCGGTCGCTTATGGACGTCCCCGGACAGGAGACAGACTCCAGAGCCCGAAAACGACAAGAAACTGGCCGACACTCTTTTTTGATGGGCCGATTTTCCACCACCACTACCATAACTAGGTAGGAGGAGGAGGAGGAAGTGGAGGAGGAGGAGGAGGAGGAGGAGGAGGAGGAGGAGGAGGAGGAGGAGGAGGAGGAGGAGGAGGGAGGAGGAGGAGAGAGGAGGAGGAGGAGGAGGAGGAGGAGGAGGAGGAGGAGGAGGAGGAGGAGGAGGAGGAGGAGAGGGAGAAGGAAGGAAGACCTCCCCATCCTCCCTTCCTACCCCGTCCTACCCATGGTAGTGGTGGTGGAAAACTGCCTCCACACCCCACTGGAAATGGAGGGCAAATCGGGCCTTCGGGATATGTTGCTCCCATCGTACCTAAGGACCACATCCCAGAAATAATTTCGAGCACCCGGAAGAGTGTCGAAAGAGTGTCGACAACAATGTCGAAACAGTGTCGGACGAGTGCCCCCCTCTGGCCCGACACGTGATAAACCCTCGAGGTTCGGTGCTCTTGTTGGTGCTCGAAATTCTTACTGGTGATCAAGGCTGAAGTAGGTTGGAACATCACAACCTTTCGGGTTGGGTTGTGGTGGTTCGGCGGGCGGTGAGTACACGTCTTGTGCCGCCCCGCCAGGCTCCACGCGTCGATCTCGTGGACGACGCGCGCCTCAGCTCGGCGGCGGAGGCGGCCGTGGTCGTCGTCGTCGTCGTCGTCGCCGCCGTGGTCGTCGTCGTCAGGTACTAACTTGCCGAGAACTATAAGAGCGCCAAGCAATACACCACGACCAGCCCTGGCAAGGCCCATCCTGGGCCTGGACTGGTGTACAGGCCCTCCTGGCCGAGGCCTGGGGGTCTATGCACCAGCCCAGGGCCCAGGATGGGCCTGGCAAGGGCTGGTAGTGTACTGTTCGCGGCCCTCCGAAAAACAGCTCTCGTCAGTCTGTGGAGACGGTTCTGGGCGCTCTCGCCTCGAGGCCAGCTGCATGTCATACGAGAACGGCGCTCCCGCTCAAGCGCGGGGCTTGGGTCCCAATCCCAGCCACTGGAGCCCCGACTGCGACCGCAACGGCTCCCGCCCTAAAACCTCCCTACGTCATCCTAGTCTGAGACACCCTCCCCAGAGGTCCCGAAGCTTGCTCAGTCAGTCAAGCTGGGGGGACCCCCCAACTACGACGACCACGGTTCCATCTCGATACTTCCTCGCAGTGTGCTCCCACGCGCCCTGGCCGGATGCTTTCTCACACTCGGGCGGTCTATGCTGAGCGAGTCTCCCAGGGGCTGGCATGAAACGATACCCTCACGATACCTATACGACCACCCTCCGGGTGATAAGGAGACTGTGGGGGGGAGAGGGGGGGGAACCAACATCTGATTCAATCGGTCTCACTATCGATCTCACTCAACGGGACACCACGGGACACCATGGGACACTTGTCGATCTCACTATCGATCTCACGATCGACCTCACTCAACGGGACACCACGGGACACCACGTGCCACCACGGGACACCGCGGGACACCTGTCGATCTCACTATCGGTCTCACTATCGATCTCACTCAAGGGGACACCATAGGACATAGGACACCACGGGACACCACATCGATCTCACTATCGATCTCACCATCGATCTCACTATCGATCTCATTGTCGATCTCACTCAACGGGACACCACAGCACACCACGGACACCACGGGACACCTGTCGATCTCATTATCGATCTCACTAGCGATCTCACTTTTTGGGACACAACGGGACACCTCGGGGCACCACATCGATCTCAGTATCGATAGCACTATCGATCTCAACATCGATCTCACTATCGATCTCATTCAACGGGACACCACGGGACACCACGGGACACCGCGGGACACCGCGAGCCACCGCTGGACGGGCGGGAGGGGGAGAATCATTTGTCTTGACTTCGCCCTAGGAACGGCGGACACCACGGGACACCGGCGGGACACCAGCGTGACACCGCGGGCCACCGGCCGCCGGAGGAGAAACATTTGGTCCGGCCGCGGCCCAGCCACAGGAGGATTCCCTCTCGCCCGCCCACGCAGCTTCGCTTCGCCCGCACGCACGCACGGCACGCACGACACGAACCCGAAACCGAAATCGATTTCCTGGTAGGGGGGTCTCCGTTTCACGTCGGACTCACCCCCCAACCTCCGATGTACAGGTGCGCCGTCCGCAATCCTGCGTGCGCGAGTGATCGCGTTCAAACGCACGCCAGCGGAGACTGACCTCGTACGTGCACAAAGGTCGTTGGCCAATGAGCTGGTTCTCCCGACGCCTCCAAGCGCCGCAGGCGCCCACGCACTGCGGGAAGCGTGGTGGCGGGGCCGAAACCGGCGGCACGCAACAACTTTCGAAAATCCCCCTTGCCCCGCCGCCCTCCCCCCCTTCCATCCGACCCGAGACGACGCGGACGACCTTGGGGGAACGGCACGGTACCGGTGCCGCTGCTCCCCTCACCTCTCCCAGGCTGCGCTCCGACCAAACTTCCGAGGCTGGCCCCGTCGTGGCGACAAGAAGTGGGCACCAATGTCGGTATCGGAAATTTTGGGGGTGAGGTCGCAGTGGAACGGAGACCCCCAACCGGGAAATCATTTCGTTTCGTTCATGCCGTGCGTGCGGGCGAGGCGAACCTGCGTGGGCGCGCGAGAGGAATGAGCACGCCGTTGCGAGGGCGAAGTCAAGACAAATGATTCCCCCCCTCCCGCCCGTCCAGCGGTGGCCCGCGGTGTCCCGTGGTGTCCCGTGGTGTCCCGTGGTGACCGCCGTTGCGAGGGCGAAGTCAAGACAAACGATTCTCCCCCTCCCGCCCGTCCAGCAATGGCTCGCGGAGTCCCGCGGTGTCACGCTGGTGTCCCGCGGTGTCCCGTGGTGTCCGCCGTTGCTAGGGCGAAGTCAAGACAAATGATTCTCACCCTCCCGCCCGTCCAGCGGTGGCTCGCGGTGTCCCGCGGTGTCCCGTGGTGTCCCGTGGTGTCCACCGTTGATAGAGCGAAATCAAAACAAGCGATTCTCCCCGACCCGCCCGTCCGTCCGTCCGTCCAGGGGTGGCTCGCGGTGTCTCGCGGTGTCCCGCGGTGTCCCGTGGTGTCCCGTTGAGTGAGATCGATAGTGAGATCGACAGTGAGATCGATAGTAAAATCGATAGTGAGATCGATACTGAGATCGATGTGGTGCCCCGAGGTGTCCCGTGGTGTCCCAAAAAGTGAGATCGATAGTGAGATCGACAGGTGTCCCGTGGTGTCCCGTGGTGTCCCGTTGAGTGAGATCGATAGTGAGATCGATAGTGAGATCGATACTGAGATGGATGTGGTGCCCCGCGGTGTCCCATGGTGTCCCGTTGAGTGAGATCTATAGTGAGATCGAGAACTGGCCCGTGGTGTCCCGTGGTGTCCTGTTGAGTGAGATCGATAGTGAGATCGATAATTAGACCGATGTGGTGTCCCGTGGTGGCACGTGGTGTCCCGTGGTGTCCCGTTGAGTGAGGTCGATCGTGAGATCGATAGTGAGATCGACAAGTGTCCCATGGTGTCCCGTGGTGTCCCGTGGAGTGAGATCGATAGTGAGATCGATTGAGTCAGATCTTGGTTCCCCCCCCCTCTCCCCCCCCCACACAACCTGCTTATCACCCGAAGGGTGGTCGTATAGGTATTAGTATACCCCTTTTAGACCCGACCGTCTCCTGGGCGGCTCTGGATTCGGCCATCGAAGAGGACCAGGCTGTGTCCTCCCGCCTCCGCGACTTCCACGTAGGCAAACAGTCCGATTCTGACTAGGACTGACCGGCATAATAGAGTCCGACTGTTAAGCTGATCGGGGAGCCCACCTAATTATTAGGGAAAGCGCTGGCGCCCTTCGTAACTGACTGCGCTGGGCTAGAAGCTCGGGCGCTCGCCGGGAACGTGAGCAGCAGCGTGCCGCCCAGCTCGTCGTCTGGGTGCACGAGCCTCATCGGCCTCTGCTCGAACTGGCGGCCGCGCCGCTCTCTCTGGAGGCCCCCGGGCGCCCACCGACGAGTGCGCCGGGCTCGCTCGAGGGAGCAGGGGCGCGCTGCCCCCGCACTCGGCCCCGAGCACCAGGCATGCGCAGGCGTCGCATCTGTTACCCCGATTGGTGCACCACACCTGGCGGCGTGCCAGGCCAGAGCAGTGCTCGAGGAATCCTGAGCACGCTCAAGGCTGCACCTCCCCCCCCACAACGAAACGACCCGCGTCCGCCCTGCCGCTGCCGCTCCGAAGCCGCCTCCTCCCTCTCCCCCTCGCCCCCTGCGCCTCCTCCTGCCCGCAGGCTCGCCCCTGCCGTCATGCCGTGCGCTCGAGGACGAGGACGATGACGACGAGGACGACGATGCCGACGACGACGACGGACGACGACGACGAAGACGAGGACAAGGACGACAAGGACGACGACGACGACGACGACGACGGGGACGAGAACGCGCTCTTGCTTTGCCCCTCGTCTGCTCGGGCCTGCCTCGCTCTGGGCTCTCCGATCCATGCCCTCCTCCTCCTCGTCCTCCGCTCCCCTCTCCTCGAGGA